AGGGTTAAAGAACCAAATAATACATTAGAAAACGAAAATTGATATTTGAAATGTCGTTTTATGTTCTCAATTACACTGTGTAACACAACAAATAATTACGAGAAAATCCAGCAGATTATGAAAGAAGAGCTAGAAAAAGAAGACATATTTATCTGTGCTTTTAAAGGCAAGTGCCCCCACTTCCACACTTTTGGAAATTTTTGGATTAGAATTCCGTGGAATCCATACATGTAAGATATACAGGGTGAAACTGCAAATTTTGGCCTTCAAACGGACAATAAAACCGCTGCCCGAATGTTGCTCTGCGGTATTTTGGCCCATTCCTGGCGAAGCGTTTGTTTGATTTAATCGACACTTTGGTATTTTTTAGTGCCAACTTTGCTTTCCAAAATACTCCGGACACAATAGTCCAACGGATTGGTATCCGGAGATTTTGGTGGCCATTGTTCGATAGAAATGAAGCGAGGAACATTATTTTGTAATCATTCTTGGGTGGCGCATGCTGAGTCCTGTTGGAATATCCAAAGTCTGCGGCCAAAATGTTTGCGTGCCCAAGGCTTTAATAAACCCTACAGAATATTTTAAAGATAAAATTCGGCATTTATTCTGATGCCACGGTCGATTAATACGAGCGGAGAGCGAACAACGGCTGTTATGGCGGACCACACCATCACCGTGGCCGACGCTTGAGCTGCACATTTTTAGCTGACCTCTTTGGCAAGTAAACTCGATCATTTTGTTTGTTTACAAACTGCTACACAACGAATGTTTTCTCATCGGAGTGAACCAAATTAGGCAGTTCACCACTTTCGCCCAAGCGAAACAACTCTTTAGCTCTCTTGAGTCTCATTTTGCAATATTTGCCGAATGGAATATTGCGATATGTTTAGCTCATGAGCCATTTTTCGGCCACTGGGTTTCGATCAAGTCGCTTCCTTACTTTTCGAACCATTTCTGCTGATGTTGTCCACTTCATTGACGTCGAGCTACGCTACCAGTAACGCGGTAACGAGCGATAGTACGAGATATGAAAGATTTATACACATTTAGCAACTTGTGGTTTTCCAGTCAAATATAAAGAAATCAGACTATCACGCTTGAATTCCATCACGAATAATTTTTTTTTTTTGGAAAATTTTCACCAAAATATATTACGAGCTGTCACTGGAATAATTTTAACAGCTGTCGGACGAGTGGCTTGGAAATGACAGCAGTCTGAAGTTGGTTGCAGTTTTTTTTTCATCTCGCCCTGTAGACCGGTCCATTTTTCGGTATAATCTCTATGTAATATAAACTCCGATTTAAAGTTTACGTTTTAGTCACACCTATCTTGATTTTAGTTATTGGCTAAAGAATCGTATTTTGGTCTTTTCGTGGCTTGAAAACCTTCCGGCAGATATAATATAAATACCCCCAATATGTTTATAATTTGCCATAAAATTTAACAAATTTCGGCATTTTGAAGGTTCTTGCCCAATCAGCCACACACGGTACAACCGTAGGTTCAACTTGGATCGAAAGCCAAGTTGTGTTCTTCGGTCACAAAGGATACAACATTGAGTACAACCTCCCTTTCTTCATTTTTCGAACAGTTTATTTGAGTTCAGATGGCACCGCAAATAATTTCGTCCGCTATAAGTGGCTTAATTGGTTTTATTTATTATTCATGTTTGCATTTCTATTTTGTAATATTCACTAAAATCACACATTTGATCAGATTTCGTGTTGTATCATCGAAAATAAACACAATATGAAATTGTGAGCGACATGCCCACAAACGTTACAATCAGTTGTTACAACATGAAACAAATCAAAAACTTTTGATTCATTGTACAGCCTAGGCACAATGTCCTACAACCGATACAATTGATACAATCTTAAATACAAGTTGTACAACAAGTTGTATCGTGTGTGGCTTGCATTAGGAATGTCGATTTTTTTTGATCACATTGTCTTACCGAAGTGTCTGTACGTTTAGCTCGCTCGAAACTTTTAGCCGTTTTTTATACCCTACACCACATAGTGGTAAGGGTATTATGTCTTTACGCATTTGTTTGCAACATGGAGAAGGAAGCGAGTAGCTATGGATCATGGTTGAGGATCTTCATAGAATCACTTTCTGAGTCGATGTATGCTCCGTCTGTTTGTGCACAAAATGCAGGTCGCATTAATTATCCGATTGAGATTAAATTTTCCGGCCAAGGACGAACCCTATTAAAATTGGTGAGAATCGGTTCAAATTTAGAAATAGCTCCCATCTATATATCCTCAACCGGTTACGGGTTCATTGTGCATCAAATGGCCAATATCAGTCGAAATGACCTGAATTTTAGCACAACCGACCGAATTCAGTCTAGTAGCAAGTACACCAAATTTGGCGAAAATCGTTTTGAGATATAGCTCCCATATACATGATTCATCCGATTTGGGAGTTTAAGTACCTCACATGCGTAATATGCACTCCACCAGCTTGATATTTGGTACAAGATAACTTATGAAGCTCAAAAATATCTCTGCCAAATTTTATCGAGATCGGATCAGATTAGGATAGAGCTCCCATATATATATTTATATATATATATATATATATATATATATATATATATATATATATATATATATATATATATATATATATATATATATATATATATATATATATATATATATATATATATATATATCTTCATCCGATATCAGGTTTATTGTACACCATATGACTAATATCAGCCCAAATGGAATGAATTTTGACAGTTCTGACTGAATTCACCTTAGAAACAACTTTAAATTTGGTGAAAATTGGTTCAGACATAGCTATAGCTCCCATATATTGAATAGATTTTTTCATATTCAACCGAATTTTACCATTTGGGGAAACTCGATCTGGTATATCTATCGCCCCAATAAATATTTTTTAATAAAATTCTTATCGAAGTCATATCATGGACTGAACAGGAATGTTATTTGGTTGATAGTTGAGCTCGTCGGTCCCGCCCGACTTTTGACCTTTCCTTACTGATTTTTTTACGTTTAACGTATTCCTCATCGTGAAGTTTACGAAAATTTCATCCCTTTAAATTCGCCACATTTTATGATTGTCCATCCCCTCCTCCAGCATGTTTTTTGCGTCATGCAACAATTTGCTGTTATTCCAATTTACCATAAATCTAATTTTGGCAACAAATATGGATCTGGTTTATTAATAAAATTCTAAAATAAACGCTGAAAACCACAGCTGAAAAATGGCAACAAACAGAATAAATTTAAATATATTCGGATGCAATGGCCATTAGTTTAATTTAAAATGACCCATGTGTCCATATGGAAATCATGTTATATTTTCGTAAATGGAATTATGTGTGAAATGCGAAAAATGGAGGAAGAAGGAAAAAGAAATGAAACTAAACTAAAAAAACTTTAGCAATTGTTAAAAATGAAATGACAACAATGTCCTTTTTATTTATCCTCATGATATGGGCGATGTGGGACATTTTGGTTGTAGCTATTCCTCTCTGTACCTCAGCAAATGTGAAGGCACACAAGCATGTGCACCATGCCATAGTATTACTGAATGGGGTGCGTAACCGATTATTTGTGTCATTTCCTTTAGTTCGCATTGCAGTCCCAATTCCAACACTCCACATCTGACACATCTGGCAGATGCTTGTATTATTTCATTTGGAAAATTCAAAATAAACTGTTGTTGCAGTTTTCTGCTTCCATCCTCTTGTTTTTTCTGTTGTGTTTGGCAATTTATCAATGTAGCTGGCCAAGGAAGTGGCAATAAAAAATGCAATATTTCTATTTAACCGCTTTTTATCCACCAACAAATCAGCCAAGTCAACCAAATGCAACAAACAAGTCATTCCACAACAAAAAATGTTCAACTGGAAAATTTCATCACCGAACCCACTTACCTTCTCTTCTCCTCTGGCTCTTGCCTCTCCACCCACTCAAATGTCGGTGTGCTGTTGCTTTGTTGGCTTCTCTCGCTCTCGTTCGGGAAGATGCAACTTTTCGTCGCCGCAATATATCTTTTTACAGCTGCAACCACAGTTGCTTACATTTTGCTGCGACGAAGCTTATTTTCAGCTGCTTGTTGCCCTCGTTCGCCTTCATCTTCTTCTGCTTATTGGCAACAATTGAGCTGCCAATGCTGACAGTAAAAATGCTATCTCGTTTGGTTTCGTCTTCTTCTCCTCCGTTTTTGGAGGGTCGGATGGGGTTCCGTGCCCATTTTGTGAGCGCAATTTAAGTTGCAAAATTTTTATTACCCATGGTGCACATTTCAACTTTGTTTGAGCTGATTGCGAAGCTAAAATTTTCTTATTCTTTTTATTTTTGTTGCTGCTGTCGTTGATATTTTTTATATATTTTTCCAGCAAATGACAAACGTGTCGATACATTTGTCATTTGGAGTTATCGTAAAATGTACAGTGAGTAGAGTTAACGAAAGATGTGGAATGTACATACGATGATGGGTTCAGATGGGTCGGATAATTTGCACACACCCCCACACGACATGAAAAGTGCCGAAAGAAAAGTACTGCAGAATATTTTTAATTATCAAATAGATTTGGAGAATTAAGTGAAAATTTGACATTCTTGTTAATTTAACCATTATCAAATTGAAGGTCTGATTCTGCCTCTCCTATTTTATGCATTTTTTATATCAACTCAAGAAAATAAAATAAATGTGAAAAGTCCTTGCCAGGGTTAGAGCAATGGTGATATACATATGGACATAATTGCCACCACACTCGGTGTAAAAACTCACGATATTTCTAATATTTCCTAAAAATATAGGAATTAAAATACCTCGAAAAATCAACTCCCTAACACAGCCCACCCCAATTCCCATAGTCATTCTTAATCCCTGCTACTCTCGTATTGTTATTTTATTTATGTGCTATCTTAGTTTATTAATTTATCAAAAAAAGTTTTCGTTTTCGGAACTAAATTTTATTTTTGTTGTTTTCTCTCTGTTGTATTCTTTACAGTTGCAATTACTGTTTGCCTCGTCTTGGTGACAAGTGTCAGCGCCGAAGAATGCGGCCAAGAGGAATTCACCAAATGTGCTGAACCTTTAGAGATGTTGCATTTAACATCAGAATTTTCTATTGGTGCTGCCAAAAAAGAGGAACTGGATAAACTTTGTGTGTAAGTATTAAAGAACAAAAAAGATAACAAGACAAAAAAAAAAATCAGGAAATAAAACAGGAATAGAAAAGTTGGTCGAAGGCGATAATTGTGTGAACTACAATTTCTTCTATTGAGTATAGAATACCTTAGGGTCCTCTATTGAGTATAGAAGACTTAAGGGTCTTCTATTGAGTATAAAAGACCTCAGGGTCCTCTATTGAGTATAGAAGACCTCAGGGTCTTCTGTTGAATATAGAAGACCTCAGGGTCCTCTATTGAGTATAGAAGACCTCAGGGTCCTCAATTGAATACAGAAGACCTCAGGGTCTTCTGTTGAGTATAGAAGACCTCAGGGTCCTCTATTGAGTATAGAAGACCTCAGGGTCTTCTATTGAGTATAGAAAACCTCAGGGTACACTGAGTATAGAAGACCTCAGGGAGAGACCACAAGGTCTTCTATGGAATATAGAAGACCACAAGGACTTCTATGGAATATAGAAGACCACAAGGACTTTTATGGAATATCAAAGAGCTCAAGGTCTTCTATGGAATATCGAAGAGCTCAAGCTCTTCTATGTAATATCGAACAGCTCAAGCTCTTCTATGGAATATCGAAGAGCTCAAGCTCTTCTATGGAATATAGAAGAGCTCAAGCTCTTCTATGGAATATAGAAGAGCTCAAGCTCAAGAAGACCTCAAGCTCTTCTATGGAATATAGAAGACCTCAGGCTCTTCTATGGAATATAGAAGACCTCAAGCTCTTCTATGGAATATAGAAGACCTCAAGCTCTTCTATGGAATATAGAAGACCTCAAGCTCTTCTATGGAATATAGAAGACCTCAAGCTCTTCTATGGAATATAGAAGACCTCAAGCTCTTCTATGGAATATAGAAGACCTCAAGCTCTTCTATGGAATATGGAAGACCTCAAGCTCTTCTATGGAATATAGAAGACCTCAAGCTCTTCGATGGAATATAGAATACCTCAAGCTATTCTATGGAATATAGAAGACCCCAAGCTCTTCTATGGAATATAGAAGAGTTCAAGCTCTTCTATGGAATGTAGAGGAGCTCAATCTCTTCGATGGAATATAGAAGAGCTCAAGCTCTTCGATGGAATATAGAAGAGCTCAAGCTCTTCGATGGAATATAGAAGAGTTCAAGCTCTTCCATGGAATATAGAAGAGCTCAAGCTCTTCGATGGAATATAGAAGAGCTCAAGCTCTTCGATGGAATATAGAAGAGCTCAAGCTCTTCAATGGAATGTAGAAGAGCTCAAGCTCTTCGATGGAATATAGAAGAGCTCAAGCTCTTCGATGGAATATAGAAGAGCTCAAGCTCTTCGATGGAATATAGAAGAGCTCAAGCTCTTCGATGGAATATAGAAGACCTCAAGCTCTTCTGTGGAATATAGAAGACCTCAAGCTCTTCTGTGGAATATAGAAGACCTCAAGCTCTTCTATGGAATATAGAAGACCTCAAGCTCCTCTATGGAATATAGAAGACCTCAAGCTCTTCTGTGGAATATAGAAGACCTCAAGCTCTTCTATGGAATATGGAAGACCTCAAGCTCTTCTATGGAATATGGAAGACCTCAAGCTCTTCTATGGAATATGGAAGACCTCAAGCTCTTCTATGAGATATGGAAGACCTCAAGCTCTTCTATGGAATATAGAAGACCTCAAGCTCTTCTATGGAATATAGAAGACCTCAAGCTCTTCGATGGAATATAGAAGAGCTCATGCTCTTCGATGGAATGTAGAAGAGCTCAAGCTCTTCGATGGAATATAGAAGAGCTCAAGCTCTTCGATGGAATATAGAAGAGCTCAAGCTCTTCGATGGAATATAGAAGACCTCAAGCTCTTCTGTGGAATATAGAAGACCTCAAGCTCTTCTATGGAATATAGAAGACCTCAAGCTCTTCTGTGGAATATAGAAGACCTCAAGCTCTGCTATGGAATATGGAAGAGCTCAAGCTCTTCTATGGAATATAGAAGACCTCAAGCTCTTCTATGGAATATAGAAGTCCCCAAGGTTTTATAATGCACATAGAAGGCTTCAAGGTCTCCCCAATTTTTATAATGCACGTAGAAGGCCTCAAGGTCTCCTATTGAGTATAAAAGACCTCAACGCCTTCTATTTCGAAAAGAAGACCTTCGCGTTGTACATCGAATATAGAAGACATACAGATCTGGTATTATATATATATGCAACTTAGAGGCCTCCCAATGTATACTCTGTTATTATGGCTTCTTTTTATACAGACTTTCTCAATTTCGTCGTGGCTGCTTCCACGACAAGAAGGTGCACACATTTTTTATTTATTAAGTTTATCCTATCCATTCCGCCAGTCCATCGTCATGTATGAATTTTTCATTGAAATTAACAAAAAAAAAATGAACGAGCTCAGCAAGAATGAAAAGCGAAAAAGTTATTGGCCAAAAATAAAACGGCTAACAAGTCAAAAGCATGAGAAGAAGACTGAAAAAGCGCAATGGGAATATCAAATGAAAGTAACAAGAAATAACTATAACTGTAAATTAGTGAACAAAACTAATTGCGGGTGGTCGTCTACTCCGTTCTCTCCATGGCATTGGTGTTGGCTTCCGCTACCACTTCCGTTAGCTCGCTGGCCGGTGGGAGGATGAAACTATAAACATTCATTTCACAGATTTATATCTGAGAAAAATTATTTTGTTACGAAGATACCTTTGCAGCGAAAACAACAAAAGAAACAACTGAACACACAGCCACCATTGGCGGATGTTAAACAGACCCCTAGCTAGCCATTTCAGACAACTTGGCATGGCTGCCATTCAATCCAGAAAAAATCCCAAAGAGAATCAAACATTGGTGACTGCTGCAACAAAAGATATTTGTAGCACGAAACATCATGTGTCCATGGAAAATTCAACAGAGCGTGGGTGGGGGGAAGGGGAGTTGGAATGGGACAAGGACAGCCATTCTATTAGCCGGCAAACGTTTTCTGATAGAGTTGAAAAGACAAAAACGAAAAGGAAATAAAAAAGAGAAAAACTGCAATTTCTGTTGGAGTTGTAACCCCATAATTTAATGTTTCCCCTGAATATGTGACTCGAGATTCGTTTCTTTTTTTTTTCACAATGTGTCTGGATACGGTTCACTGGTTACATTGTTGCCCATAAATTAGTTAAAAAAGAAAATTTGCACCAAAAAAAGCTAAAAGTTTTGTTCTTTCTGTTTCTCACACCAGTCATTAGGAGTACATTTCACATGTTCGCCTTGTCTCTGATATTTGTGTCTCCGTTGGGTATTTTAGGGATTTAAAATTGTCCTTTGTGACCAAAACTAAATGTAAAATCTTAAATCAAATAAACAAACGGCCACGGTCCGCAAAAGACCGTCCGTTAGTCTGTCTGTCTGTCGTTCTGCCTTCTTGTTTACATGCGAGGCTATCGTTGATGTTCTCATCAAACAAACAAAGTCAAATTGAATTTGAAAGTTTTTTATTTTTGTTGCGAAATTCACGAAAAGGTGCGGGTTTATTAAACTTTTTTTTGGGGATAATGAACTTTAGTTGGAGTTCCATTGAAATATCATCTGTTTTAACCCTTATATGAAAACCAAAACTTTTAAACATAGACGATCCACAAGTTCCTGGCCGAACATTGGCATACATCTGTACAAGACTGACGTATTGATATTTTGAAAAGCCTGAAACGGAATACACATTACGGCTTTATTTCGGATCGAATTGGAAACGGGCTGAATCTATGTGTAATAAAGCCATATCAATCCAGGAATAGGTCGACATATAAATACTGTGATCATAAATATATATTGAGTGATTTTATACGAACTTACCAAAACACGGAATCTGATTACAAAATTCAAAATTCAGGGTAGAGGTCTTTTCATGTTGCATGTGTTATCTCATATCGAATAAGATTGCCATGGAGTTCAGATTAAGACTGTAGGAATCCTCTAGTTATTCATTTTATGTGAAAAAATATTATTGATTTGGTGCTCAATTAGCACGAAATCTGCGAAAGTCATTTATAGGAGCTATGTCCAAATCTAAATCAGGAATCAGTGTTGTGTCATTGTGTGTTTTATCAATGACTTTGGTAGAATTGTGAAGTAACAAGTTTAAAAGTATCAGTCGGTTCTGCTGACAAATGTATACCCTCAGCCAATATTCAATTATTTAAATATATTTTGACTTCGGTTATGTTTATTCAAATTGTTGACCCTCTATGGAGTTGGTTTGATGGAATGGGTCAATATTGTCCATTTCGTATCGGACCTAAATAAATATGATATAAATATTGCGACGCGCCAGGTTTGGACTATATTGGTTGCTTCCCTCACTTTATATGAAATATGTTTTTAGAAAATGTTAAAATGTGCGTGAGGTACCAGATATAGTCGACTGAAGTATTCAATTTTCATACTTCATCTAATACAGATTAAAATATTGGTATAGGCAAAATGATAAGAAAACGGATCATTTATATCCATTTTTATCATTTATATTTATTTTATCAATTTTATCAGGTTTCTGGCAAAGAGAGACATATTTAGATATAGCAAGTTGTAAAGAATCGCTGACTTGTTTCGCAAGTTGACAGACAAAAGTATTGAAAATTGTTCTCCTTTGTGGGTGAGGTACCAGAAGGGCTCGCATATATATATATATATATATATATATATATATATATATATATATATATATATATATATATATATATATATATATATATATATATATATATATATATATATATATCGGTTTGAGAATTATTACACGAGATGCTGTTGGCTTTCCATCCAACCCTAAGTACTTATTTAGGGGCTGAGGAACGCGCCTACTATCTTAATTAAATCTATCTCTCTATATGTAAAAGAAAGTTGTGTTAGTTACTAGTCTTATAACATAAAGACCGCCGGTCTGATTTTAACGATTTAGACAAATTCGGAATTGCCTCTTGGTAGAAAGGAATAAAATCCAAAAAATCGCGTAAAAATGTGAAATTTGA